CATTTAAGCATAATTTGAAATTTAAAGTACAAATTTAAACTTTTAGCTTGTAAAAACCATACAATAAAATAGATATATATATATATATATATACTTTTAGACTGTCTCGCATAATAAAAGGTAAAAGGTACAAACTCCACTACTAACAGCATACATTGTGTATATATTTTAAAAGGTGATGAGAGTAGGAAAGTTACATACTTGAGAAATTATTGATTAGATTACATACAATCTATGTTGTCTTGATGTAATTGGACGGTCAATATCACTTTGTGCACGTTATATACAATTATAAATATTGCATGGTGATATTGTAAGCGGCCCCACCACAATATAAAAAGCATAACAAGCGGGCCCATTTTCTGTTCTGTCTTTTCTTTCGTTCAACCCAATAATGCATTTTATCTCTTTTTAACCCAATGCATGTCCGGCAGATAAATACTCGTGCACCGCTCAAATCACAGCCGTCGATTAAGAATTTGATGAACTGGAAATGAATCTGACGGTGGAGGAGCAAAAGATTTTGTACACTCTAGAAAGCACGAGTCGCACCCACACACACCCACCCCCTTATGAGAGGGATAGACGAACGGCTTTTGAGATAAACAAGGACGTGGGGCCAGCCGTTTTGAAACGATGCATGTATGACGTAAGATCTGACACGTTGACGGTCCATCTGCACTCAACTTGTTTATAAATGGAAGCCTGAAGCCTCTCCCGTAATTCAAATCTGGTATTCCTGCTAAATCACTCGCGTTAATCATCCGTGACTCGCTCATTTTATCTAGAGAATCTGAAAATGTCTTGCTGCGGAGGAAACTGTGGCTGTGGATCCAGTTGCGGTTGCGGCAGCGGATGCGGAGGGTATGATGATTTTTAGGATCTGTTTGGTTCCGTGGAAAAAGTTGTCTTCTGTTTAAGCCTAATTTTGTTTTCACGACAAATTTGCAGGTGCAAAATGTATCCTGACATGAGTTTTGCGGAGAAGACAACGAGTGAGACTGTGGTGCTCGGATTTGCAGCGGAGAAAGCATCGTACGAGGGATATGGCGAGACGATGGTTGTGGTGGGCGAGAATGGTGGGTGCAAGTGCGGTGCCAACTGCACCTGCGACCCTTGCAATTGTAAATGAGATCCATCTCGGGTGAATTTGAGAGGCAGAGACTGCGTCGTATAAGAAAATAACTAGTATGTAAACTGTGTTTTGCGTGTGTCTGTTTTAAATAAAGTAGCAGATCTGGTTTGGTTTCAGTTCATCATCTGATTATGATTGATCTGGCTTTGTAATATTTGTTAATCTATAAAGTTAATATATAAATTAAGCTACTTGTTCTTGTTCTATTCTTAAAAAAGTAACTCACATTTCTAGATCTAGATCTGATTAAAAATTTCAAGCGTTTGTTTGTTTGTTTGTTTGTTAGCGAGGCGTGGGTCTCGTGAAGAGGGAAAATTAAATTTGTATTCCCCAAAATATAAGAAAAAAGTCCCAATACTCATTTATTAAATATTTTAATCTGAAATATACAGCTTTTTAAATTTGAAGAGAAAATGGTATATGATTAATAATTTGAATTTAATGTATGATATTTTACGGTATAAAAAAAAATTATATTTATTTTAATTTTAAATAATAATAAATGGTATATGATTAATAAATTTAAAATGAATTTTAAAAGTAATGAATCAGTGACGTGTGATTGACTTTTTCTCCTTATATTTTTATATAAATTTAATTTAATTTTTATTTTTATAATTTATTTTTTATTTT